TGGCCATTGATTGTTCTTCACAAGAGCGACTATTGTTGTCGTTGTAATTTTCGTAATTGATACAAATGATTTCACCTTTGAATTGTTCCGTGAGAAACAAAATGCTAGATTTAGCTGATGAATAATAAGATCACTTGTCCAGTAACTTGAAGTTTTATGGATGGGTGGGAAGGGGAAGATCCTTTCCTAATTTCAAACCAATTTTTTGATTTTGTTTTGCATTTTTTTTTTTAATTTCTTGTAACTTGCTGGAAATGTTTTTTGATTCTTTGTGAGTTGTTATAAATGTCTAACAGGTGCTCCAAAAAAGATGGATTGTTGGTAGCATCAAACAACGTCCAACACTTTTTTTTGGTTAGATGTTTGCTTCTTACATTAATGGTAGCAAGATTAAAAAACCCAACAATCTCTAAAGTTGAAGAAGATAGAGAAGTTTAGCGGTTAGGTGCATATCGAAGACCATCAGTGTGCGTAACAAAAATCATCAATGTGTAACAAGGTGTTTAATGTGACAGAGTACATGTATTACTTTCCAATTAATAAAAACTAAAACAAAAAATCAGCAGCCATAATAATATCGAACAAAGCTTAACTTTTAATTGTAAAATTATGATTGGTTTAATAGTATGATTTTTCTTTATAAATGTAATAAATATTGAATTCAATTCTTGCTTAAAGTTTTAAAATCAAATAATTATAGCTTAGAGTCATTTATTAAAGCAAAACAATTGAATATTTAAATAAAAAAGAGTAATCATCTAATGGAGTTAGTCTTTGACGCTATTTGGTTAGTCTTTGGGGTTAGTAGGGAAATTAGCCATTGTCACGTAACTTTTTATTAAGGGCACATAAATTAGGTAATAATCATATTTGTTTTGATTGATTTTATTTGTTTATAATTATTTTGTGTTAAATAATTAGTTATGATATTTAGAAATGTTAATCTATAATTTGATTGTAATATATTAAATAATAAATATTAATTATTCTATTAACTAATAGATATGGTTACTAATTATTTTTAACAATTAAAAAAATATTTTGTGTGATTTTAATAAAAAAAAATTGTGTAGTAATAATTATGAACGTTATTAGGAGGCATATTATTCAAAAAATAAAAATAAAACAAAAATTCCAATGGACCCGAGCCCAGGCTTTGACCCGAGCAGTCCCAAGCTGGTCTAGGACCTATAAACTACACCTTGTTCAAGAGTCAAGACTGGCTCGTTAGAAAACCGGTCTGAACTGATCTCATGCTCCGAACCAGGTCAATGGACTCCTGCTCCGACCGCTTGGTTATTTCTTTATATTTATTTTTTTTATTAATTTATTGGTATATATTACTTACATTGGATCTCATTAAAGAAAAAAATCTATTAGTGGTATTTGACCCTCTAGGCCAAGTGACTTTGGTCACTTTTATGAGGTTCATATCCAGTGACGGAGTCAGGGGTGCGAGGGGCGCTCCTCCTCTGAAATTTGAAAATCTTATAAATTAGTATATGAAAAATTTTTTAACTTTCCCTGAACTTTGAAAATTTTAGTATTTTGCCTCCTTTAAATAAAAAAAATCTCTGCCTCCGCCCCTCTTCATATCTCTCTCCCAAGATAATGGTTTGAACCAGTCCCATAATAAAATATTCAAAAAATAAAAAGATCTCTTAGTGTATCTTTTTTCATTTATAAAATTTTTAGTGTATATTTTTTTATTTATAAGATTTAAATTTAATATTTTAATTAAAAATATTAAAATTTTTTTACGCAAACTAACGGATCGATGATAGAGTTACTAAAGGATTTCTTTTTATTCTATTTCAAAAACTCAATGATTGAAGAGCAAAAATAAAAGGTTTTTTAAGCTAAAAATAATGAAAGCATTTTGGCCGTTTGTACAAATTAACATATTGTTATAGAAACCTTCTAGAAACCATATTTCTTTTAAACGTCATATGTCAGCCCCTTTTTTTTTTTTTTTTTATCCTCCTATCCCCTTCCGGGTCTTTTTATTTAAAAAAAGAAAAAAGAAAAAAAAGAAAATGCAGTGGAAGAATCAATCGAATTCCTGGATCTAAACATTGTGACAGGGCAAAACACAGTCATGTGCTACATTATAGGATTTGTTTGGGAGTGCTATAGATATTGGGTTGTGCTAAGACTCTAAATTTTTTTTTCTTTTTTTATTGTAAAAATATTAAAAAAAATATTAATTAAAATTATTAATGATTTATAAAATATTGATTACATTTAATTATTTATAATTATATTTTTAGATAAAGTGTTGCAAAAAATGTGTTTGTATAAACTCCTAGCTACACAAATCCGTAAATTTAAGTATTTGAGATTGTTGTCCCAAAATACTTTTTTACAAAGCAGTTTATTAAAAATGTTAATTTATTATAATTAAATTAACTTTAAGTCATGTTTTATATTATTTACTAATTATTTTGATGCATAAAACTTTTTTTTAAAAATTAATTATCAAACAATAATATAGTCTTAGTCATAACAAAATATATACAAAAAACTACAATTATAACACTTCATATTTATACTAAATATAGCTTTAGTACCTCGTATACAAATGTAAAATTGTATAATTATTAATTTTGATTAATGTTATATATTTTTAATAATTTTAATTAATATTTTATATATTTTGTAATAATAAAAGATAAAAAAACCAACTCCATTACACTTCTGGTTGGAATTTAAATATTTTAATAAAAATAAAATAATATATTTTATAAATTAAATTTATTATTCTATTAAAAACTTGATCAAACTAGCTGTTGCAGGTTAATTGTCTTATTTACGGGCACATTATTTCATAATAATTGCTTAATTTATTCCTACAATTAACCTACAAATAAAAGTTACAAGACCATGAATATTATAAATAGGCATGTTTTTTTCACTCAAAAAAGATGTTCCTCCAAATTCCTCTATTCTTTCTTATTTTATTTTATTTTCTAAATAATTTTGGGTAAAGAAGGGTGTTTTGAGTAAGATGACTCTATAAGTAGTGCAGATTCATGGAGTGTTATTATAAAACTATAGCATCCTGGGGATGACATGTCATGTTTATCTCTGCTACACCGGTTGATCTACTTTCCATAAAACGTGAATCGTTTTAAAGTAAGTAAACTTTTCACACTTATTTTGATAATATTTTTTTATCAATATTTCTTAATAAATTCACTAATTATTATTTTATTTGATTTTATGAACAAGAGAAAACAATAATACGATGATGAGATGAAGAAGAGTGTTTAAGGAACAACACTTCTCTCTAGATGGGGGTCTCCCTCTCCTCTTCTTGCTTGTCCTAAAACAACTTGAAGGTTAGTTAGACTAGACAACATCCTCGATCGATAGATCTCTCCTAGGTTTTGTGTTGCCACTGCAACTTACAAGGACCTTATTTGATTTTGGCAAACCTCAACGACCACCCATTCCCTTTCTTCAATTCGCTTTTGTAGTAAAAAACCAATTTGCACCTGCAAAGCGCCTAGTCAAGCTTCCTTCCCCTCGGAAGAATATTTTCCTTGTCAACCTTCATGGCTTGTGGTGAACTAGGGTTGTTGGCGACAGGGATTTGACGACAATGTGGACATGGCACTGGCAGAGTTTGGTGACCGCGGAAAGAATAGAGGATTTGCGGATGATATGATGAATTTGGAGCCATGTTAGGGCAAATCCTGCTCACCAATGAGGAGTGAGTCATCTTTTTTTGAAGGCCACTGGAATCGGCTTAGCCAAGAGAAGGAGGATCTCTAATCCTTGTCGAGAAAGTGTTATCGAGGAAGAAGATTAACTTGTTAGATTGGGTAGAAACTATAAATGTTTCGTTTCTCCAAAAAGTATGACCTCAAGAATGTATTGGAGAAAGTACCATGAAATTAACTTTAACAAGTGCTTAGTGATCTTGAAGAAGTTAGGCAGAAACTCGCGCCTGAGCAATATGACTTTTATATGAAACTATTCTATGTTAATTTTCATGATTTATCAAGTGCTCAGATCAAAAAAGGTTGGTCAGATGATAGGAGACTCAATCGCTATTGTCTTGGAAGTTAGTAAGGACCATTGTAACTGGTTGAGAGGCCATCAATGAGATTCACCACCACTCGAATCTCTTCCATTGAAACCAAAGCGGCTGAGGATTAAATGTGAAAATTTGGTAGATTATATATATATCCGTGGTTGTATAGTCACATTGAAATCTTATGTGAACTTGGTTTCAAACTTAAAGAAATTGGTAGGGAAATTATATCAAGCAATCTGGACTGTGGCTACATGCTTAACTGAAGATATATGGGGTCCTATTAAGATGGAAGATTTTAGTCTATCGGGTAGTCAAGGAAATCTAGTTTCGGAGCATAGTGTGGCTGAGAAGACAAATAATATAAGAGAACAACTAAGAGAGGTTAATGACATGGAACTCAATGAAAAGAAGCGAGAATTTTAGGCAGGTTCTCAAGCCCTGCAGATGCCACAAGGCTTGAATTCGGTTTTGATGGATGACCCATTGAAGCAGATAGCTAAGTCATTACTTCCTAGTGTTCTAAAGTCCCTCTTAATTTAAATGTCTAGATTTGCCATGGACAATGTCTTCTTGTAAGTCATAGGTCTATTTCTTTACCTATATGACATAACTTAGAATATGTATGATGTATTAAATTAATTTATCAATGAATTTATAATTATTTAAAAAATATATTGCCTAAAATGTATTTCTTCGAATGAAAATTATATTAAAAAATAAAAAAGCATTTATTTCCTCTACAAAGATCTAGAACTCAAACGTAGAAAAGATGCTTTCTTGGCTAATTAAATTGCTTTAGAACCAGCAAATACACTCGCAAGTTCTGTTTCACGAAATAAAGGTGGACCAGAACGTATATTCTGGGTACTTATTCTCAGATAAAGAAAGTGATGAGAGAGATGAAGGAAAATGAGACTCTTTAGTCTTTACTAATTCCATTTTTTTGTTACACTGTTTCCATTTTGTTTAGATTTTTGGCTGAATTGTGTTTCAAGATTTTGTGGGATTCCATTCCATCATAAAAGATGGGTTGGTAATTTTCTGTTTGGTTAAACAACGAGAAAGAGAGAGAAAAATGGGGGGCAATTGCCATTCCCCACAGAAAAAGTGGTGGCAAAAAAGCTCTTTTTGTACACACTGCGATGATGGTGATGATGATGCCTGCAATCTCCAACAGCAGCAGCAGCAACAACAACAATCCTCCTTTCCCCTCTTTCCTTTTCCTTTCTCTCACAACACTCTCTATCTTCTCTCCTCGCAAACCATGACCGATCTCCTCTTCTTCCCCTTCTTCTTCCCTCAAATAGGATGCAATTATAGCCATAACCCATGAACCAGAGCTTGAACTAGATAACGCCTTTATGGATAATAGCAAGTGCGGCTGCTGGACTGCCCTGAAACGTGGGGTTGCGGGTGCCTACAAATCCTCTGCTTCTCGTGATTCTGCCAACACTATTCCTCGTACTAGTCTCGTTTATGATGCCGGTATGTTTTCTGTCGACTGTTTAGATATGTCTGTTTTTCTATGATCAATGTTTGATCTCCCCATTTGAATCCTCTGACGGACTCCTACGCTTTTATCTTTTCCGAGGCTTTTTCTGCTTTGTAATTCTTTCTATGGGTTTGATTTCTGCCGCAGCACAATGTTGCTTTTTGTCATTTTGGTCTGATTTTTAAAGTGCTTCAGTTTTCAAGTTATGTGAGCGTTCTTGAAAACTGTCTTGCGTTTAATTAATATAGATCTCAGTTTGTCTTAGATTTTGTGTTGATGAGGGAACGGCTAAGAAAAAGATCTTATACTACTGATGTTTCTTCTGATCCCTATGACGGAGATTGATTGATGCCCGAATTGATTGGTCTTATCCTCCAGTTGAGAACTTGAGATCTTCATTGAAATTCTCTGCTACCTAAAATCTGTGCCTTTACCATGTTCTTTATCAAGAAGCAGGCTGAAAAGGAGTGGATTTTATTTTGTACCCTAGGTTGTTGTGGACTTGTGATTATGGAAAGACATCTCAATTTAAATCTTCTTGTGCAGCTGCCGAAACACGGTATCTAAATGCCAGCAACCGTGAGCTTTTGCCTCCTAATGAAGCTCATCTTTCATCTGATAATCCTGATCCCTCACCATCGGATGACAAATCTCCCTGCCAGCTTCTCCAGTTCAGTTTTCAGCAGCTGAAATCTGCGACAGGAAACTTTAGACCCGATAGCATTCTTGGGGAAGGCGGCTTTGGCTACGTCTTCAAAGGGTGGATAGAGGAAAATGGAACAGCCCCAGCGAAACCTGGGTCGGGAATCACGGTTGCTGTCAAGAGTTTAAAGCCAGATGGTCTTCAGGGCCATAGAGAATGGATGGTTAGTACTTAGTAGAAATATATACCGTTGGTTTGTAACTTTATCTGAGAAAGATGTGACTGGCAAGTGTGCCAAATCACGGGAGTTATAACATATACTGGTTCTCTTAATGCAGGCCGAGGTTGATTTCCTTGGACAGCTTCACCATCCAAATCTTGTTAAGCTTATTGGCTACTGCATTGAAGATGATCAGCGGCTACTTGTATATGAATTTATGACTCGTGGAAGTCTTGAAAACCATCTTTTCAGAAGTGAGTGAAGTGAACTACTTCCTTTTCAAAATTGTTACTTTTAGCTATTTGGTCTATACTTTGATTTCCTACTAAACCTATGCTAAAGTGGTCCTTATAATTGTTCATTTTTTACTTCCCTTCTAACAATAAGGATCTGGTTTGTAAAACTGGGTCCACATCGTTTCCATGAGCTCCATGATGTACTGAAATCCATTGCAGCACGTGCCTTAAAATATGAAGTCCATGTTTAAGCATGACCTTTTTCTTCACAGCTGTTAATGTACACACTAGCTTGTCTCATGATTTCTACTTCAATTTTGTTTAGCAGCTCTACAAACATTTTCTTTACTGGAATTGCAAATTTCACATGGTTAAATGAAATAAAATGCTAACATTCTCAAATTTTGTTAAGGGACAATACCTCTCCCATGGTCCAGCAGGATTAAGATTGCACTTGGTGCGGCAAAAGGATTGGCATTTCTTCATGGTGGTCCAGAGCCAGTCATTTATAGAGATTTTAAAACATCCAATATTTTACTTGATTCAGTATGTGGATTCATATGTTCAGTTAATTGATTATATCCTATCATTTTTTAGCAGAAACATTAATGTGGAAATTATTACAGGAATATAATGCAAAGCTTTCAGATTTTGGTCTAGCAAAAGCTGGCCCTCAAGGAGACAACACTCATGTTTCTACCAGAGTTGTTGGAACATATGGCTATGCGGCTCCAGAGTATGTTATGACAGGTATCAAAGTTGTAGATGTTTTGAACTGATATGAACCTCTAAAGGAATCCATGATGCTTGCCTTTTTCTAGGAATTGGACTCATCAACATACAAAAATTTGGCATCCATAAAAAGTAAATGGTTTGGTTCTTGCCAATCCAATCATCATGACGTTATTTGGCATTGACAGCTCCTTACATGAAAATTATCTTTTGATTGCATCTGCACCGTTAAAACCTATATCTTCACATGTCAAGATGCTTTTTGTTCCCTTGACACGCAGATTTGAAAACTAATAATGTAATATCTCTTTTCTCAGGACACTTGACATCTAAGAGTGATGTGTACAGCTTTGGTGTTGTACTACTTGAGATTTTGACAGGAAGAAGATCAATGGACAAGAAGCGCCCAAAAGGAGAGCAAAATCTTGTTACATGGTCTCGGTCATATTTAGCTGACAAGAGAAAACTTTACCAACTTGTGGATCCTCGCTTAGAGCTGAACTATTCTCTTAAAGGGGTGCAGAAAGTTTCTCAATTAGCTTACAACTGCCTCAATAAGGATCCAAAATCCCGTCCTACAATGGATGAAGTAGTGAAAGTTCTCACTCCACTGCAAGATCTTAATGATCTGGCCATCTTATCTTATCACTCCCGTTCATCCCAGCAAGCGAGACGCAAGAAGAAACCAGATGGAGCTCAGCAGTTCCTCAATGCCCCATCCAAAAGCATCAGAGACTCTCCGTTGAATTCTGGCAAGCAGCGTTGCAGGTGATGGACAATCAGTTCTTGGCGATACTGGCTTTGCTTCCAATGGAACATATAAAGATGCCAGATCTATACATGATTGCCTAAAGACTGCTTCAAGTTTGTAATAACAATTTTGAGGAGTTTGAAAATTGCTAGAGCCAGAAGAAAGGAGGGGAAAGGTACATCAGATTCCTTTCCTCTGAAACCTTAAATACTAGAGAGCTAACCTTGAACGTGGACCATTCCCTGTTATTCCCAGCATGGTATTATAGAAATCTCCTGTAATTAGACTAAACCTCCCATTTTCAAATCGGGTATTGCTACAACCTGATGCCACTCTCCCTTTGATTTCTAGAAATTGATGGAATGTTTTCATGTTGTTCATATGCCGTGCTATTCTATTCTTGGTATCCATCTCTCAGTTTTGATGTTTTTATTCAATCCCAGTGTTTGAGGGTTTCCTTCACTAGTAAACCGTTATTGGATGCTACAATTGTGTCTGTGAATGTGAATGTAGTCTCATATTAGTTAAATTAATTAATGTATGGACACAATTACAGCTCAATCAGGACTTGAAATTTGAAGCACCAAGTCAACGAGATTCTAATATCATGTTTAGAAACGATCAACCTAAAAGAATTTGGTAGCAAAGCATATATTGTGTAGATGTGCTGTTCCATCGCCTGTGGTCTTCAAACCAGAATCTAATTCCCATTCAACTTATTCTGTAAATCACTTAATAAAAGAACGCAGTGCAAGCTTTTAGCTACATATTGCGTTTTGACATCAAGTATATCTTGTGACCTTTACTTATTCTGCAAATCATTTCCACAAAAGGGCACAAATAAAAAGTGGTATTGTTTTGTTACATGTGCATGGTGTCATTCTCCTGTTACATTTCTACTTGATACTTGTATGAAGAATAGAAATTTATCTAGCTTTTACTTTACTCTAAAAATCAACAATACAAGGAACCCCAAAAAAAAAAAAACCTTTATTCTGAAAATGATGTCCACAAAGGGCACAAGAAATATTCTGGTAAATTGTAGGAAGTTTTAGTGGAACAGAAGAAAATGAGCATTTACTCAGAAAAAAACAAAACAGTTTTTTTTTTTTTTTTTTAAACATGGGGAAATTTGTTTTAAGGAGCATAAGTAAGGCTTGCGTATAAAAATCAAGACATTATGTCTTAACCCATTCATTTAAAAGAATAATTACTATATCATTAAAGGTTGGACAAACAAAAGAGTAATTTTAACTTAAAGATATGGTTAAAAAATAACTTTTTTAAGTAACTCTACATCTTATTTAATGTTTTTATTTTATTTTATTTAAATTTATAATATTATACATATTTAATTTAATAATATAAAAATTATATAAAAAATTATACAAATAAATTATTCACATATTATTAACCTAACCGATTTTCACCAAACCAGCTGACGTCCCAGCATAACATAATGCCAACTCATGCCGACTCCCCTAGTCTTATCGCCACGTAAGCCATTCATCTTAACGTTCAAATGTCTTACATCAATTCCCCTTCCCCTTTGCTCCTTAACCCCTGTGACAAGGGGTTTTTTTTTTTCTTTTAACACTACTGTGACTAGGGGTTAGGGCAATTAACAGCATGCAGTATTTGCACCTTAAGACCCATATGAACATATGCACAACCAATTCCACGTTACAAGTCACCCTAGCCCTTATTTTTTCTAATTCACGTTGGTAATCAGGAACAGACCAGACTTGGGCCTCACATTCTTCCACTGATTTACAGGCAGTGGTGGAGCTAGGAAATATTTTTAGCAAAAGTAAAATAAAATCTTGACTAAAAAAGAAATGACTTTGTGTGTCTATTTATAAAGTAAAAAGAAAATATTTTAAATAATAATTGTTAATCTTTAATGATAAATTAATAGTAGTCGATAATGTAATGTAAAAATCATTAGTTAAAAGATAAAAACAAATATATGTCAAGTAGAATAATATAAATTATGAACAAAGAAACGAAAAGTAAATATATTAATGAACAAACACTTTATAAAAAAATGATAATAAATAATTTTTATTTAATTAATTTTTATTTTTTTCCATATTTTATATCATCTTTATTTTCTCCATCTTTCTCTTTATCATTAAAAGTAATCTTCAACAATATAAATACTAAAAAATGATTAAAATGGTATGCAATAAGAAAGGATAAAAATGATAAAAAGAAGACATAAGGGACCAAACTAAATTTTTTACAAAAGTTTAGGAGGGGCCTGTGCCCCCTCAAGGTCCCCCTTGGCTTTGCCAGTGATTACAGGTTCTTGGTAGCAGGTATCCCAAATCTGATCCAGATATCATTACAAAAATCTTGCCGTGAATACCACTGCCCCCTATCTTTTTTATATGATTCTAACCACTGAAGTGCCTTACCCTTCAAATGCATTCATTACAAAGTTTGTGATTTGTGTTCTCAGTGTATTAAATTTAGGAAAAAAAATGGATTTGCTTGAAAAATCCACAACTTAACCCTATCTCTTTCCTCGAAGGTAGGAAAATCAAACGTCCCAAAACTTGCCATAGCTTGTAATGGATGCTCAGCAGGATCCAAATTCCTTACATCGAGGTTCTGTTGAAGATTTCCTTCTCCGGGACTGAAGATCCCATTGTTGTCTTCCATTGCTGGTTGAACTTGGCGCTCATGAACTGTGTCATGGCTCTTTGCAAATCCTCGAACTGCTTCTCTCTGCATTTTCTGCAATTCTTGAATATCTTTTCCTACGTTGGCTTTGAATTTTTTCTGTTCCGACGACCATTTCACAAGTCCAAGAAATGGTAGTTTTGATGCCAATTGATGGAGAAAATTTGTAAATAATGATGTTAACTTTGTATTTTTTTTATTTAAAGTATTAATTTTGGTAATTTTTAAATAAAGATATTAATTTTTAATTTTTTTATTTAAAGGATATTAATTTTTAATTTTTTTATTTAAAGATATTAATCTTTTTTAAAAAATATGTTTGACGTATCAATATCACGATTCAATTAATTCTTAAATAGAAAAAAATTAAAAATTAATATTTTTAAATAAAAATGTTAAAAATTAACATCTTTAAATAAAAAAAATTAAATGTTAATATTTTTACTCAAAAATTAATAAAGTTAACATCATTAAATGAAAAAAATATAAAATTAATATATTTATTTGCAACTTCTCTCTCAATTGACATAGAGCATCTGAATTTTAGGGATTTTGGGGAAGATTTGAGATGAGGAAAAAATGAATAGAAGATGAGTAGAACAAAAGAGATAAGTGTAGGTGGAAGGAACCAACAAACTCTTGACCTTGTGGCTATGGCAGAGCCAGAAAATCTTTTTAGGGGGACAAAATGAAACTTTAATTAGGAAATGGTGCATTTGTGTCTATTAAAGTTTGATGCAATAAAAAAATTTAAAAAAAATATTAAAATGATTGTTTCTTTATATTTTACTAATTAATTAAAAGTGGTTAACAATGTAAATGCTATTAATTAAGGCCAAATCCTCTATTTGTACTCTACATATATTTTTTTTACGATAACACTTTAAATTAATTTTCATTTCAATCAATATTCTTCATAATTTAAAACTCCTAAAACACCCCATATTATTAACAAAATCATGGTACAAATAGGAGGTTTGACCACAAAATCAAAGTGTAAATTGAGAGTTTGACCATAAAGTTTTGGGTTTTTCACAAGTTTTAAATAGTAGAGGGTGTTGATTGGGATAAAAATTAGTTTAGCATATTGAACACAAAGAAAGAAAAAAAAGTGCAAGGTACAAATAGGGGTTTTGGCCATTAATTAAAGGACAAAATGGACATATATTTACTAGGAAAATATTAATAAGTAAGATATTGAAATTAAAAGGTTATTAAGAAACAAACACCTCTAAAAAGATAATATTGAACAACTTTACATTTAATTAATCTCTATTTTTTCCTATACTTTGTCATTTTTTCTTTTTATACGTTAAAGGGGTTAGTTACTTGATATTATAAAGATTTAAATATTTTATCTTGATCCTAAATTAAGATTTTTAAGTTAATATGTACTAATTAACTTGTCCAAACTCTTGTTGGTATTTCATAAGTCTTCATTTTTCTCTTTCTCATTATCACAAAAAATAATCTTTAAAAAAAATAAAATAAAATACGATAAAATAAAAAAAATACATTGGTGAAAATGATTGAAGTAAAACTCAAGGGATTAAAACTGTTTTTCCTCAAAAGTTTAGGGAGTACCACTACAAGAAAACCTAGCTTTATCGACCACATATCACCGAGGTAGGAAGGTTTCTCGGTGAAGTATCCAGTTACCGACAAGATATAAGTCTGCAACTTGAGAAACAGTAGAAATGGCAGTAAGATATATTATTTATTTTACAGACGTAAGACTCGTCAGTAATTTAACAAAATACATACGTGTTTCTTGTCGGCAATTGTAACCAACACTCCGGCCGGTGGGGAGAAAGAGGGAAGGCATATCACCGACGAGAAGTACGCTTGTAAATTGAATTTGAAACGATAGTCTCGTCAGTAACTGTCACGCCCCAGAACCCAAATCCGAGGTGCGACAGACGCCGTGCACTCATGAGACGGGTCCCACAAATGCATAAGGCTCGGAACTTATTCAAATCACAAATCTCAAGAATAAATCCCACTTACAAAAGGATGATAAAATCTAAAACTTATATCCAACTAGAATGGCTAGCCTTCTAACTCGTCACTCCCCTCGGTTTCCCCGTCCTCGGTTTCGCTTCCTGAAATGGTGGACAAGGAAAACTATGAGAAAACTTAGTAAGTAAATATGGATAGCCCTTGGGTAAAACTTTTAAGCATGCCAGATAAACAGTTTAATATAACCAAAATGCTTAGTGACAAAATCAGATTCAGTTTAATTGCAAAGCATTCATGACAAACCATTAATGCAGAAGAAAACTCAGTTCAGTAGTCTCATCTATAAGTCATGGCCAGTGTTTACAAACTCCCACTGGCAGGCGTCAGTAATAGTGGCAGTGTTTAACACACTCCCACTGGCAGGCGTCAGTAATAGTGCCAATGTTTTATCCCATTGGCAGGACGAACCGGTTCTACAGAAATACATGTCGACATGTGCTAGCGTTTACAGCTCCCACTAGCGGGCGTCAGTAATCATGACTATATCCGAGACAAAACCATGCAGGATTTCCAAAAAATCCATAATTCACAATCAATCTCAAATCTCAGAAATAAACCAGAAAATTTCCATGTGACCATGGATTTAACAGAAAACTCAGAATTTGCAAACTCTCAGTTCATCAAAACAGTTCAGTCAATTCCAAATAGGCATGCTCTACTCAATACCAATGAAAACAGTTTCATTTCAAACCAGTCATGCTCGGTGCAATAACTCCAGAAAAACAATGAAATTCTCACCTTTCATTTCAATCATGCTCAATTCCAGAAAACAATGAAATTCTCATAAAAACCATCACAATTTCCATTTCAGTTTAATCACATTCAGATGTTGATAAAATCAATTTAAAATCACTTTAAATCTTGCCACCATCTCAAAAACAGTTTAAAACATGCTTTAAAATCGAAGGGCTTTACCATAATTTACTTACCTCACTCGCACAGAACAGAAGGCTAACCCACGTGCTACGGTGACAGAACGATCAAAACCTAATCACAATATTCCACAATTAATAACCATACCACCACAATTTCAAAGTAAAATCATCATCGGGACTACCCCTAATCTCGATGCTATTTCTATCAATCTCCACATAACCGGACATCTCCAAACTTATTCTTATATCACAAACTAATCCTTTAAATCCCTGCTAATCGTTGACCCTTGGTGTGTGAACAGTGCCTATGAACAGTACCATGAACAGTAACTTCAACTTCCAAAATTGCAAAACCATAACTAATCTCACGGGATTTCTCTCCAAAATCTCACAACAATCATAACAAGCTAATTTTCTACTTAAACCACACTTAAAAACATAGTTTAAAGCTACCAAAATTCATTCCTATTTCCCGGACAAGCAATGGAGACCCACGGCTTTGGCCAACAATGGCTAAGTCACGAGATTACTCCTACACAACATCACAACAGCCCAATTAAGCTAATTCTACATAAACTAAGCACAAAAACACATTTAAATGCTACCAGAATTCCCCCATTTTCCAACAAAATTCGGACAAAACAGCCAGCAAACTAAATGGCTAATTTAGGGCTTAAAGAAGTGGCCATCATACCGGAATTTTCCAGCAAGAACCGGAGCTGCAGGGGGGGAAGAGGCCGGCGGCACTCTGCAGAAAATTCAAGGGGAAGCTCACGGGAAATCTACCCAAAATTGGAGAACCAAGAGAAATCAAGGTTAACCCAAGCCAATTCAAGTGAGAAAAGAGGATTTAGTGGCTGCTCTTACCAGAAAATATGCCCAGAAATCACCCACAATCAAGAGCAGCCAACGGACAAAGGAGGGAGGAAGACGCAGATCTGGGATTTTCTGGGTTTAATAGGCGTTCTAGAATAAGAAAATAGGGAGAATCCCCAAGCTTTGCCGGATTTCCAGCCAGAAATGGGTGGCGGTGACGGGGGGGGGTCGTCGGGGAGGCAGAGCATCAGGGAGAAGAAAAATGAAGATGAAGAAAAGCAAAACACGTGGCTGAGGACAAAAATATCAGCCTTGATCCTTATCCAAATTTTCTTTCTTTTTAGTCCCTCAACTTTTAAAAATTTTACGTTCAAGCCCTGAAATAAAAATTTCCCTCAAATAAGTCCCCAATTTAATGCTAAAATACCCCAAAATTTTGGGATATTACAGTAACTGAGGATCAATTTCCAACGTCCATCTCCTCGGTAATTTCCACTCCCAATGCACCCCCCGCCAACTAGCTGGCTGTCTGCGTCAGGGGTGCAGCTTTTTGATGACATTTCCGACATAGTGCTTGTCGGTAACTTGCCCTTCAGCAACTCCCCGCGAATCCGGCTGGTGGCCACTGGCGATGCAGCTTTTACTTTGTTTACTGATAAGATATAGGTCAGTAATATGTCTAGTTCCAACTTGATACTCGTTGATGATTGTCCAGTCAACGGGAATCTTGATGCAACGCAGAGATGAGCAGCGTTAGACTGTAGCAATGTGGGTTTCATCGATAAGCTTCCCTATTGCCTTGCCCACTCGCCCTTCTGCTTTCATTTTGGTCTTTCTCCTTTCATTTTCATTTTCCTCTTGTCCCGAGTTGCTCTTGCTCCCCTTTCCTCCATTCTTCCCTTTGAAGCAGTTTAACACATTTTGCTTGTTGCAATCTAGTAGATCAAGCAGTGGTAAG